CCGAGAGAGTCTGGACACATTTATGTTTATTGTTTGAGCTTGCTCCTCCACACACTTCTCAGTCAGTTATATTCTCACCTGCACACATAGATCATTCCGCCATATATTTCACTTATGGTTTCAGCCAGCCACACGTACATGTTCGCTACACATCCTGTGTATGGATGTTTCTCTAATCTTGTTGTGCCGTTGGACTGCGAGAAATGATTATTTTACGCATTGCGAGTCACATTTGCACGCTTCACTACGCTTGAATCCTCCAGGATGCCAGATGGAGCGGTATGTCCCATGTTACTGCCATATTTGGATTTCACTACCGTCGTCGGCCCTTGACCTCAGATCCCGCCTATTATTTAAAGTCGTCCCCCTACTGCGTGTGATATGATCCAATCATGCATCGAAGCTAGTGCCGAGCTCACAGGATTGCAAACTCTTTCAATGCAAGCCGATGAAGATGGTGTTTTATGCGATATGGTGCAGAGATGTGTTAGTTGGCTACCAAATAGAGAGATCGATTATGAGATCGATTTTGATTATACTCCTTCTGTTATTTTTCCGGATTCGAGGACGAATCCTTTTAAAGAGGAGGAGTATGATACGATCCTAACAAGCTCAAAGATGAAGGATTGGAAGAAGAGAAAACGAGTGAGATTCATTGAGCCATTCGTGTTGGAAATAAAGAATGGAGGCTTAAATCATGCCTTTGAAGAGTGTTTGTTGAGGAATATGAAGAAAATGAAGAGGATAATTCGTTGGAAAAGTCGAATTCCATGCATCCCAGATTCTCGCCTATCTCTGGCGGTTTTACCATTCGGGTTATAACTCTCTCATATGACGTCCAATTTAAGTAATTCGAATTGATGTAAAATTCCAACTGGAAGTTCTACAACTTTCATGTTTTGAGAAAAGATAGATTTGAAGTTTAACAGTGTCGTAATTGAGCATGAAGTGCATGCACGTGCACAGCCAATTGTCTACGCGAGATTAGAAAGTTGATCGAGAAGTAGAATTCATGATCCAGTTATTTAATCTAATTATGAACGTTTTAATTTTAAGATTACTATGTTTTTTTATTATTTTAGAGTTCTTAATGATTATGATTTGCTTATTTATTAGTTTTCTTATTATAGTTTAGGTAGAAGTCATTTTCCTTGAGGAAAAAAGAATCTTTTTAGATCATATAAATAGGTTGCCAATTTGGCCTATTTTAAGGGACGGTTTTTAATCAATATTTGAGTATTTTGAGAGTTAATTCTCCGTTGCTATTCTACAACAAACATTGGGATTTTACAAAAGTGGATTCTTGTAACTTTCTTAGCGACATAATATTGGTTTCTGGTTCTTTATAACCACGGGGTCACTATTCCACATTGATAATAATGGTTTGTAGCTCTCTTTATCAGTGTGAGTCATCCCTCAACACCGACGGGGCCTTTCTGTCATCTTTGGCCATTGTTGGTGTCGGTAGCATCATCCGTGACATGACGTTGAGAGTTAAGTATTCAATTTATTAAAATATTAAATTAAATATTGGAAGATGGATATAACATAGGAAATTAGAGGATTTATTAAGTATCTTTTAATTTCCTATTTTCCTATGTTATATCCATCCTTAAATATTTAAAGGGTCGACAAACTGTACAACAAATTTTATTTTCACAATAATAAAACATACATGAAGTCGTTATATTGTTCTTTCGAAGGTATTTACACTGAACTGTACACCTGGTTATTTATACTAGATAATTTTGAACTGTGGATCTACACATGAATGCACACATACCCATGTGTATGTGTGTTTAATGGATACTTATTTAATCAAATATAATGTTCAAATCTATCTGATGTAAATAAGCATGTACATCTAGCTTCCAAATGTAACATATAAGTCGATATATTTATCTTTATTAGATAATGTAATATATGCAAAACACATAGAAAATATAAGGAGGTGTGCTTAGAGATTAAAGTTCAAATTGATGTTATAAATATTACTTTTAAGTAATAAATTTACAATCAAGTACATTGTATGCTGAGTTTTTTTGCACGTAAAATCAATGGTTATTAGCAGCAACAAAATTGAGATAACGAATTGGACACAATGAATTAGTAACAATAAAATAATTAGCATTTGATTATTACGCTCACACATGGTTCCCCTAATACGGAAATATTAAATATCGTTTGAATTTTAGTACAATTTTGACATCAACTGCAATTTACAACCTTTTCAAGTCTGATTTTAAAAACATGAAAATGGTAGTCCTTTGATTAACTTTCTAATACAATTTAAACCAGTTAGGTTGGATATCGAGTGTCAAAGTTACTGCGTGAATGAATTACATTTTAAATTTTAGATAACTCAAAACATCAGAGTTGTGGGCAATATTCATTGATTCATGCATATCTTTCTTATCCGACATCCAACTTTTGTGATTCTATTTGGATGAGGGAACTATAAATTCAGTATTTTGTGTTTTGCAAAACAGTTCCAAATTGATCAAAATTATCTTTGAAGTCGAAACGATATTATCAAAACTAAAACGGTATTTATCGCATTCCTATATAATATATTCTGGCATAATTTGTTTTTATATGTTTTTTTTGGAAATAAAATATAGGTCTTATAGTAATTTGAAGTTTGTGTACTAAAAAATTGCCAAAGTACTTTTATATTCATTTGTCATCTACTCATTTTTAATGCTATATACAACTAGTAAATTTATTTATTGTGTGTATCAGAGTATTCGCTCAATGTTGGTGACCCATTGTTGTTTCATGCACATGCTCTACATCCATGTTCCCATAAGTTGTACTTATTTTATTGTATTATTATATAATAAATTGAAACTTGAAGATACCATGATAAGTTACACACAAGTTATTTTTGTTAAATTTAATTTAATGTTTTGTAAGCCGCATCTAAACAAATAAATGTTTGAAGGGATGATGAACATTACAACAAATTTTATTTTCACAATAATAAAGCATACATGAAGTCATTATATTGTTCATTCTAAGGTATTTTTTTTCTGAATTGGTATGACTTTCAAAATGTCGATGGATTATATATAATTTTCTGAACTATGCACATGAGATAGAAATAAAAAGTTAGACACACTGGAAACGAAGATAGTAATTAAATTCATACATTCTCGTATTTTTATTTTTCGTAATGAAATTCATCTTTGGGCATTCTATATATTATATTCCATGCAAGCGTATAGATATATTCATAACGAGTCACTCTACTACTCTGCATTAATTAAACAAGTTCGTAGTCGAGGGGTTACGCCAATAATGAGGATACCAGCCTATCCCTTTTGAGACTCGCACTTAGTGTATGTGTATTGCGTCTATCAGTCATCGGTGTTGTGTTAAATCTGTTAGAATAGGTGACCAACATGTGGTTGTGGTCTGTCGTATTTATTATGGTAATAAACGAACCTTTATTCGTATTGATGATAAAACAACTTGGCATTCTATATCTTTGTCCCTTTGTCACAAGCATAGATATAGTCCTTACAGTTATTACATGTACTAGTAATTGATCGTTAGGATCGTGAGATATTTACTTAAGTATTATAACTGTTAAACGTGCTTGTAGTCGAAGGGTTACGCCACCAATGAGGATATCAACCTTTCCCATTAAGAGACTAGCACTTAGTGTATGTGTACTGCATCTCATCCATAAAAAGGTTGGTGATATCGGCATGCATAAGTGGGTGCTTGTAAGTTGACGAGTTCACTGAACTCCCTCACCGTAGAAATCTCTAAGTGGTTCCCAATAATCGAGTAGAGATATTTATGGTATAGTTGTACACCATTAGTCCTTATGACCTAGACATTACCGTGACTTCACTAGAGGACCAGCTGTATCGTGACATGTCCCTGAGTTCCACCGAGGACCATCCCAAGGGCCAGTGTTCGTGCAGTCCGAAATCTAGTGGGAGGTATGCGCATTGTACTCGGAGATTCGATCGCTAGAATAGTCTTGGATGTCCTGTGTGTTCTGAAAGTTTGTAATCATTCTAAGTCTCTGGCCAGAGCTAACTAAGTGATGATTTGAGAATTCGATTCTCTAAGTCATGCATGTAACGATTACAATACTTAGAACAATCGCACCGTTATTGAACAAATAAAGAGGTCTCGACGAACCAATGACTCTAGTTCAATCGGGACATATGTATCGAAGGGACCGTACTATGTTAACTATATCTGAAGGTTGTTGTAGGCACTTCATTTGTATCTAGGGTATGACGCGTAGTTGCTAGACGCCAATCTTGATTTGTTGGGTGATTAAGGTGAAACGAGCTTCATCCTAATCGTAACTCTAAGGGACGAGTTTTGACCCCAAAGGGTTGTGGGCCCACGGCTAGCTTACACCTGAACCATCGAGGGTCACACTGCTCGTGCACATGAGATCTTTGAATAAACGGTCAGGGATAAAATGGTTTATCTTTGCATGATTTGAAGTCAATATGATTGGGTCCAACATTCGTAATTTGGAATTATGAATGAGAATAAGAAAAGGAAAAGAATAGGAAAACGTATTAGTGAACTTTCTAAATCGGGAAGTTTCCAAATTTAGAAAGTGCACTGAATTAGGGTTTCCACTTTTGGAAAGATGGAAATCGAGAGTTGGCACTCGTAATGACGAGAACATTATAATGATTCCGAAAATGTAATCGTTACAATTTTCCGATCATTGAAATGAGAGAGACGAGCAAGTAAAAGAACTAACGAACTTAAGCTGTTGGGCCCGGTCCAACTTAAGCCCGCTAGGGTTTTTTGCAAGACACTATAAATACTTGAACTATAGGTCTTGCACACACACACAACACGAAACCCTAACCCTAGCCGCTCTCTCTCTCTCTCTCGCTCGTCCACCTCCCCGCGGCCTGTGACGCCCGCCTTCTATGAAGCGTTTGTCAAATTACTCTATGAAATTACCCGGTCTATTTTTTTTTCATGGATAATACTAATTACTAATCAAACTATAGTTCATAAAAATACGTACGATTTATTTATTAACAACCTCACTTCTAGCAAGGTAAAGTACAAAGGTTCCGGACATTTACAACAACAGCTTCTAGCTTATGAGATTACAATATTCTAACATAAATAAGCTCAAACGCTGATATTTATAATACAAGACAACGATCATTCTTAACTTAATCGAACCATTATTTTACAAATATAAACAAGGTAACTACTCGGACGGGAAATCCTTTGATTCGTTCAAGCTGCACCTGTCTCTGAGAATATGAGAGAATAAAGTAGGGGGATAAGTCATAGAAGACTTAGTGAGGTGAAATATAAGAATAACGAGTTACGACATGAACCGAGAGAAAGTATGATGATCGAACCAATTGGTGATATCGGAAAATATAAGCGATTAAAGATTATCCATCGATTGGAAATTCCAGAATAATAGTAAGGATAATCAATCGATTTTCCGATCAATAGAGATAAGAATACACCTACCTTGTGACTCCCGTAGCCGTTTACTACCTTATTCACCGAGCAGGGAATGACCCTGTAATGCAATGTGGCATGCCCGGGCGCATGCCGGTTTAGCCCGAAACCCAACTAACCTCCAGTTGTGTACGGGTCTAAACCTATGTGGGTACTGTTGGAGAGACTACCCACCGTCGGCCCGATACCGCCCAGCGGTCACCTCCAAACAGCCCCGGGCCCATCAATATCCATTGTCCTTGAGGCGTCCCAAAAGGACTTCATCGATCATATAAGAAGACCATATTTCTGATTATTTCAGGATTTCAAAGACAAAATAATTCCGAAGAAATGGGATCAAGTGAAAGGTTTCAAAGAGGGCTCGATGTTTCAAGATGTGAAGTTTAGATAATTGAATAAAACTTGAAGGAAACGATCGGCTTCAAAGAATTTCATACCGATCACTCAATAAGTACTATTCGAAGGAAATGAAAACAAAGAGTTAAACACTCGATACGATAGCATTTCTCAAATAATCTCAGGCTCAACATCATCCAATCAATTTCAAATAACGATAATCAAATGATAATGAGTAGATCAATTCAATGAAAGGGAGCAAAATTCAAGAACTCGAGCGATACAATTACCCGAGTTTATCATATTCCCAGAAAAGGTCAAGCAAGAGAACCCTCACCTCGTCCAATCAAGAGTACATGTCGATCACGGTTCCTCGATCTCAAAACCTATGCAATATTTAAACTATAAGACACCAAATTATTTATTAAAATAAAATGATATACACTCTACGTTTTCCTAGCTTTATATGTTCTTAAGGTCGAATAATTCACTTACCAATTAATCTAACCCCGTAACTAACATCAAAACTTACCACATAACCATCATGTTTATGTTACCAGGACGAAGACCAATAAAATATGTTCATATATGACGACTTTCTTAACATAATAATAAAACGTATGTGCTGCCACAGTTTATTCAAAAATTCATAACAAATTCCACATTTATCCAAATTGCTAACATGGTATACCAAATGAAAGCTAACAAATAATACTACGAGTTCACAGAAGACTTCCACCCCTGATTCTGAATCAAAAATAGCAGAATTTCCAAAAACCAGCCTATAACAGAACTGTCGAACATTGAAAATTCATTTCTGGTACAACTTATTTGAAAATTAATAACATGCTATACATATCTTCGAAACAGAACAAATGATATACCAAATTAAAGCTAAGAACAATATCTACAAGTTCAATGAAGACAACATTCTCAAATTATGAGCACAACATAACTAAAACAGCCCCCGAAAAGGTTTATAAAAACTGCCGGTATTTACAAAAATCCATTTTCTGGCAGTATGTTTGAAAAATCGTAATAATTCGAAATGTCATCCAAATTTAACAAATAGTATATGATATCGAACATAACGACTTCATCCACAAATCGACAGAAGACATTGAACTCAAATTATGAATCAAATATACAGAAAACAGCCCCAAAAGAATAATCATACGAGCTGCCAGAATTGACAGCTTTCAACGCCCATATTCCTCCGTTCAAAAAGCCTATAGAACTCAATCATATGGAACGAGCTTCAACATATAATTAACGTACTCCAGAAAATCTATGATGTTTGAGAAGAAACGATTTTAAATTCGAATTCCAAAACTCCCAAATTCTGTTCCGAAAATCAGAGTAACAACGACAAGTTTTATTTTCGAAAATCTTTGAAGCTACTATAGTGTTAAAATCAGTTTTCAACAAGGGTTCTAAAATTGGGGAAAATTAATAATTCTAACAATTTTATCCTATTCTACAATTTTCATGAAGAAACGAAATCGAAATTCGAAGCCAAAATACCTCAAATCAGATTATTAAATTAACAGTAGGCAATCGTCATCAAATCAAAGGGGTCGGAATCTCCACCGAACTAAAGCCTGTAAAACCCCCGCTCGATGAAACTTCACCGGGAAGGTCGTCAAGTCACCATCTTTTCTTCGATGATTGAACCCTAGCCGCCTCGTATTCTTAACTTCTCTCTGTGGTTTTTTTGATATTCAATCTCTTGTTGGGTGGTGCGCAGTTTATATGATGAGTAAGAATGGGAGTGATGAATGAAATTGAGACGAGATGAGGAGGTATTTATCGGAGGAAGAAGACGATGATGACTCTACACCTCGAGACACGCGGCTCTGCCTCAATTTTCCAAATAAACAAAATTCCATTCTTCTCAATTATCTGATAGATGTAAACTTACGTCATTTCCTTGGTTACTAAGTTGCTAGTTTATTATTTATACTTATACCCCAGATTTATCTACTAATATCACTTCAGCCACCTAAATCTAACTATATTATTATATTACTCTCATTAATGAATAAACTTCAATAATATACATATATAAACTATTATTATACCACATAATATAAATTAAGGGGTGTTACACTCTCCCCCTGTTAAAGAAATCTGGTCCCCAGATTTACTTATTGTTAATATAATTACCTGTGTGGAAAAGTTCTGGGTAGTGATTTCGTATCTCTTCTTCTCGTTCCCATGTAACCTCTTCTATATCGTGATTTCTTCACAATACTTTCACCAATGGAATCCTTCGATTTCGTAATTCTTGAAATTCTATTTTTTTTTTTTTTTTTATCGAGGATACGAACCGGTTGTTCTTCGTATGACATGTTGCCTACGAGTTGGAGTCCTTCATGAGAAATCATGTGAGGTGGATTTGGATGGTATTTTCTGAGTTGAGACACCAGGAATACATCGTGAATATTGGTAATATTGGGTGGAAGGATTAACCTATAGGCTACATGACCTATACGTTCATAAATTTCAAAAGGTCCTATATAACGTGGGCTAAGATTCCCTTCTTTTCCAATACGCTTAAATCTTTTTTTTTTCTTGGCGACACCTTGAGAAACACCATATTGCCAACTTCAAACTTGATGTTCTTTCTACGCCCATTGCTCTATTGCCGATCTTGTGAGGCTTTCATCCGTCGCTTGATGATATGCACAAAATAGCATCTTGTATTAGTTCCGGCCTTAGCGCTCTTTCTCGACCGTCTTTGGTTGCTCTCCATCTATCGAGTTCCCAATGCAATAGAGATCGACCTACCATATAGCGCCTCATATGGTGCCCACTTGTATGGTCGTCTGGTAAGTGTTGTAGTACGCGAATTCGATTAACGGTAACTTTCTCTATAATCCATGGCACATGCTCTCAATCATGTCCTCCAAAAATCCAATCACTCTCTTTGATTGCCCATCCGTTTGAGGATGTGCAATATAACTAAATTGAAGTTAAGTTCCCATGTTTTCTTTCTTATGCAATCTAATTGGGCATGGTGCTTATGCAACCAATCCATCCCCAAAATAAGATCATAACCTATGATTAGAAGATTTGCACAGTCTTCTTTACTCTCTAACTCGATAGCACAAGCTCTACACATACTATATTAGTAAGTATGTTGGAGCCTATTGCAGTGCTCACCTCAAAATTATAAGGTAATGGTTAGCCTTCTAAAACTAACTCATTTGCGAAAGACGATACGATAAACAATGAGTTGTTCCGGGACTAAATGAGGTTTACCGCATTTACCAAGTAGACAAACATTACCTTCTACGACAGCGGTTGGCTCGGCAGTTTCGTCCACCCCAGCAAGTGCATAAGCGCGGGCAGGAATTTTGGCCTTGCTTTGCTGCTCCATTGGAGCCTTTCCTTTTTGTCCTTGTGGAATATGAAGAGATTCTTGTCTCCTACGACAATCACGTGCGATATGATCAGCACTTCCACAAAGAACACACAATCCTTTCTTCCTTCGACAATCATTTTCTTCATGATTGGAGAGTCCGCAAAATCCACACTTCCTCTGCATCGCTAGATGAGGGGGAGCCCCGCTTTGATGATTTGACACTGGGTTACGATTCGTAAAATGTTCTTGATCCCTTCGTGGATATTTCGGATCCGAAAAGGGATTTCGATTTGAATTTCCTCTCAAGTTTGTAAATTTAGTTCTCTTCGCTCGCTCTTCAAAGTGGGTCAACTCTCGCATTTCCGACTCGATCTGCATCGCCTTATTAATCGTCGCGCTATAATTTGTTGCATCCGACGAAATTATAGCCCAACGAAGTTCTAATTTCAATCCTTCAATGAATTTGCGTACTTTGCGAGTTTCATCGTTCATATAGTGTGGAGCATAGCGAATTAGATAATTGAAACGAGCTTCGTACTGTGCCACCGTCATTGTGCCTTGAGTAAGATTCATAAAGTCCCTCTCTCTAGCATTTTTCACCACTTTTGGTATGAACTTCTCATTGAATTCTTGGACGAAGTTAGCCCAAGTTCGAGCAGTATTGTTTTGAGCCCACTTCTGATTCACCACACGCCACCAATGACGTGCAGTTTCTTCTAGCTGGAAAGCTGCATAACTAACCTTTTGAGAGTCAGAATAGTTAGTAACTTCAAAAATCTTTTCCAACTCATTAAGCCAATTTTCTGCCTTGCGATCATCGGGCTCGCCTACGAATTTCGGTGGTCGAAATCGAAGAAATCTCTCAAACCTTTGGTCCTCCATAGGCATCGCATGTTCGGCCATTGGCACGCCCGTCTGTGGTGGTTGTTGACAGAATTGCATAAATTGTTGCCACATAGTTAGCATTGATTGTACTTCTGGCGTTGCTGCCTCTCGAGGAACTTGTGGCGCTTCGGTCGCTTCGTGAGTCTTGGTATTATTTGGTTCCATCATTGTTTCATCGTCTTCGGGGCTATGAGACGAACCTTCATGACGATTCGGAGATAGTGCAAATGAACATGCTTGAGTTAGGTTCTCGGGAAGTTTCCCCAGAAAAGACATTCTGGGTCGGGTTATACAAGGTCAGGTTATATAGTTAGTGTCAATTGACTTGATATCAATTATGCGCGACACTAACTCGGATTAATCGAGTATAGAAGTATACGTACGAGCACGAAAAATATATAGAATAACCTAGAAAAGGGATCTTTACTGAATGATAGTTATCATATATACTCGAATACGAGTTGGATTTACAAAATTTAACGAGGTTACTATGTATCAGCTCTTAATACCTACCTTACATCGAATAAATAGCATATATCGAGGCACATGACTATAACCATGTGCTTCAAAAGCCCCTATTCACATATCTACGATAGACAGGCTTTCTTACTATGCATAAAGAGAACATCATAAATGCATATGCTAGATAAAACAGTCGACTACTGTAGCAAACATTGTGACGGCTTATGAGAAGACTACGTAGCCTAACTCGATCGTAATCAGATTCAACATATGTGATAGCGCATGTAGGTTCATTATTAATCACTAAAAGAGGGAATAAGTCGGGATCTACGTCGAACGCATTCTCCAAAAGGCATCTAGACTTGCTAAATTCGTAATTTGTGGAAGAGCCTACCCTAAGCTCTGATACCACCTGTGACGCCCGCCTTCTATGAAGCGTTTGTCAAATTACTCTATGAAATTACCCGGTCTATTTTTTTTTCATGGATAATACTAATTACTAATCAAACTATAGTTCATAAAAATACGTACGATTTATTTATTAACACCCTCACTTCTAGCAAGGTAAAGTACAAAGGTTCCGGACATTTACAACAGCAGCTTCTAGCTTATGAGATTACAATATTCTAACATAAATAAGCTCAAACGCTGATATTTATAATACAAGACAGCGATCATTCTTAACTTAATCGAACCATTATTTTACAAATATAAACAAGGTAACTACTCGGACGGGAAATCCTTTGATTCGTTCAAGCTGCACCTGTCTCTGAGAATATGAGAGAATAAAGTAGGGGGATAAGTCATAGAAGACTTAGTGAGGTGAAATATAAGAATAACGAGTTACGACATGAACCGAGAGAAAGTATGATGATCGAACCAATTGGTGATATCGGAAAATATAAGCGATTAAAGATTATCCATCGATTGGAAATTCCAGAATAATAGTAAGGATAATCAATCGATTTTCCGATCAATAGAGATAAGAATACACCTACCTTGTGACTCCCGTAGCCGTTTACTACCTTATTCACCGAGCAGGGAATGACCCTGTAATGCAATGTGGCATGCCCGGGCGCATGCCGGTTTAGCCCGAAACCCAACTAACCTCCAGTTGTGTACGGGTCTAAACCTATGTGGGTACTGTTGGAGAGACTACCCACCGTCGGCCCGATACCGCCCAGCGGTCACCTCCAAACAGCCCCGGGCCCATCAATATCCATTGTCCTTGAGGCGTCCCAAAAGGACTTCATCGATCATATAAGAAGACCATATTTCTGATTATTTCAGGATTTCAAAGACAAAATAATTCCGAAGAAATGGGATCAAGTGAAAGGTTTCAAAGAGGGCTCGATGTTTCAAGATGTGAAGTTTAGATAATTGAATAAAACTTGAAGGAAACGATCGGCTTCAAAGAATTTCATACCGATCACTCAATAAGTACTATTCGAAGGAAATGAAAACAAAGAGTTAAACACTCGATACGATAGCATTTCTCAAATAATCTCAGGCTCAACATCATCCAATCAATTTCAAATAACGATAATCAAATGATAATGAGTAGATCAATTCAATGAAAGGGAGCAAAATTCAAGAACTCGAGCGATACAATTACCCGAGTTTATCATATTCCCAGAAAAGGTCAAGCAAGAGAACCCTCACCTCGTCCAATCAAGAGTACATGTCGATCACGGTTCCTCGATCTCAAAACCTATGCAATATTTAAACTATAAGACACCAAATTATTTATTAAAATAAAATGATATACACTCTACGTTTTCCTAGCTTTATATGTTCTTAAGGTCGAATAATTCACTTACCAATTAATCTAACCCCGTAACTAACATCAAAACTTACCACATAACCATCATGTTTATGTTACCAGGACGAAGACCAATAAAATATGTTCATATATGACGACTTTCTTAACATAATAATAAAACGTATGTGCTGCCACAGTTTATTCAAAAATTCATAACAAATTCCACATTTATCCAAATTGCTAACATGGTATACCAAATGAAAGCTAACAAATAATACTACGAGTTCACAGAAGACTTCCACCCCTGATTCTGAACCAAAAATAGCAGAATTTCCAAAAACCAGCCTATAACAGAACTGTCGAACATTGAAAATTCATTTCTGGTACAACTTATTTGAAAATTAATAACATGCTATACATATCTTCGAAACAGAACACATGATATACCAAATTAAAGCTAAGAACAATATCTACAAGTTCAATGAAGACAACATTCTCAAATTATGAGCACAACATAACTAAAACAGCCCCCGAAAAGGTTTATAAAAACTGCCGGTATTTACAAAAATCCATTTTCTGGCAGTATGTTTGAAAAATCGTAATAATTCGAAATGTCATCCAAATTTAACAAATAGTATATGAAATCGAACATAACGACTTCATCCACAAATCGACAGAAGACATTGAACTCAAATTATGAATCAAATATACAGAAAACAGCCCCAAAAGAATAATCATACGAGCTGCCAGAATTGACAGCTTTCAACGCCCATATTCCTCCGTTCAAAAAGCCTATAGAACTCAATCATATGGAACGAGCTTCAACATATAATTAACGTACTCCAGAAAATCTATGATGTTTGAGAAGAAACGATTTTAAATTCGAATTCCAAAACTCCCAAATTCTGTTCCGAAAATCAGAGTAACAACGACAAGTTTTATTTTCGAAAATCTTTGAAGCTACTATAGTGTTAAAATCAGTTTTCAACAAGGGTTCTAAAATTGGGGAAAATTAATAATTCTAACAATTTCATCCTATTCTACAATTTTCATGAAGAAACGAAATCGAAATTCGAAGCCAAAATACCTCAAATCAGATTATTAAATTAACAGTAGGCAATCGTCATCAAATCAAAGGGGTCGGAATCTCCACCGAACTAAAGCCTGTAAAACCCCCGCTCGATGAAACTTCACCGGGAAGGTCGTCAAGTCACCATCTTTTCTTCGATGATTGAACCCTAGCCGCCTCGTATTCTTAACTTCTCTCTGTGGTTTTTTTGATATTCAATCTCTTGTTGGGTGGTGCGCAGTTTATATGATGAGTAAGAATGGGAGTGATGAATGAAATTGAGACGAGATGAGGAGGTATTTATCGGAGGAAGAAGACGATGATGACTCTACACCTCGAGACACGCGGCTCTGCCTCAATTTTCCAAATAAACAAAATTCCATTCTTCTCAATTATCTGATAGATGTAAACTTACGTCATTTCCTTGGTTACTAAGTTGCTAGTTTATTATTTATACTTATACCCCAGATTTATCTACTAATATCACTTCAGCCACCTAAATCTAACTATATTATTATATTACTCTCATTAATGAATAAACTTCAATAATATACATATATAAACTATTATTATACCACATAATATAAATTAAGGGGTGTTACACGGCCACCGCGCCGTCGTCGCCAGAAATTGTCGGAATCGGCCATCCATTGGCTGATCCCTTTCGGTATTCCATTCCTTCTTTGTTTTTCTTCCGTTTTTCTAACTATTACGTGTCTAGTTCCACGTGTTTAGTAGATCGAAGTATACGAGGTGAAATCCGAGAGGAGGAAGATCGCAGATCGAAGAATCGAGGAGTAGCACACGAGCCGACCATGCGCCGCCCGAAGACCGCGCATGAGTCACACGCGCCGCCGTGGCTCGTAGTCCCGCTGCTGCTGCCATTCCCCGGATTGTAGGGATTGGTTTCCGTAGCAATCCCGCTTTGTTTGGTGCGCCTACCTCACGCTTCAAGAGGTAAACCTTCGAATCAATTGTCGATAGATTCGTTTAAGTTTAAATTGGATATGTATGTTTGTTATTGTATGATTTTATGTGATTACATGAAATAGTTTTATTTATTGCGAGCATGTTATTTGATTTAAACGCGAGCATGCTAGTTGATTTAATTTCGATTTAGTAATTAAGCATGTATGTTGTTTTTAATTTCGCTAGAAGCGCAAAGGTAGCAATTAATTGATTTCAATTATCGGGCATGTGTTTATGTGTTTTAAATTTGTTTAAATCGCATAAAATTTTTGTTTTCCACTGCGTACACCTGTCCGATTCCCAACAGTGGTATCAGAGCTCGTTGTGTAATTAATTGCGTTCTTTTATATATGCTATGATTTTATGCATGTTCGATTTATTAAAGTAGCGATTGTTGTATTATGTAATTGGGAGTTTTCGTAAGTTTAAAATATTTTTGAAATATTGTTTAGAATATTTCCACCTTTAAAATTGTTTAAAATTGGAAAATCGGATCTGAAATTATTTTTAAATGTCGGTTTTTAATTTGTTCGGATCGAACCGGTCGGACCGGCCGGTTCGATGGTTATGCACGATCCAATTGACCGAATCCACGTGGATTCGGGTCGATCAGACCGGTGCTCGGTCCAACTGATCCGGCCCACTGATTTGGGCCAACTAGACCGGGCAGAACCGGACCGCTTAGGTTCGAACCGGTCAGACCGGTTGGGCCGAACCGGTTCACTGGAAATAAAAAAGAAAAAACAAAATTTATTTCAGATTTCTAAAATTAAACTTAAAACAAATTGATTTTAATTTTTGGAAAATTATTTTCAATTAATCCCAATTAGATAATCGAGTCAACAATCATCTATTTTAGTAAATAGGTGTTAGATTAATTAAATAATTTAAATTGTTAAATTGATTACAATTAATAGAACACATATATAATATTGATTATAGTTCAACTTAATTAGTAGTACCTCAACATTATTTGAATGATTTATGCTAGTTGAGGTTCTATAATTATTTTGAAAAAACCCGATAATTAATTAATGTAATTAATTATGTAGTTAGGTCGTATGTTCCTCTTGGGACAATATGCGTTTCCATATACCTTTAGAGAACATAGATGTAGGAATCACATAGACCAATCCGAACCTTCTGATGAGATAAAACTTTTAATAAAAATCCCTCATTCTTAATCTAATTAAGAATTATTTCATGCTATAAAGAAAAACCCAATCTGTTGAATTTTTTCTTTCCTTCTACCAACGGTTGGATTATTTGTAACCCTTTACTGTAGTGCAGTAAGCCGTGTTAGCGGGGAGTGCTATGGTAAAGTAACCTGTAATTTAATTGACATAGCGATGAAGGTAGCCATAGAAAAGGTTTATGCTAGATTAACATGGTCGGCTAGATTAACTAGGGACTGCATTAGTTTGGCATAATCAAGTTCTATGAGCATCTTTGATTGGTAGGTTAGACTTGACACACGACGATTTTGATATTCGCGAGATTAACTTAGGTCATTATCAAGTGTGAGGAAAATTAATTTAGGGTCATATTGTGGATATGATTGATTGTGATCTACCTTTGGGCAAATATAATCGGGCTAGATTAACTATGGGTTATATTTGTCTATTGGACCTAAAGCCCATTAAGAAAAATCAGTTTTCTCGTTTGTCTACTAGAGGGAAGTGGAACTCGATAAAATTAGTGGGAGAACAATTAAATTACATAAGACCAAACATTTAATTGTAACAATTATTTAACGCGAATCTCTAATAATCCTCTTCTCTATACCTCTCAGATAATCATGTCTAAGAATCCCATAATGTCAATCCTCGACAATAAACTCAATGGCCCTAATTACCTAGATTGGTTGCGTAGTCTTAAGCTTGTGCTAACCGTTGAGGGGCGTCTCTATGTTTTGAACGAGAGACTTCCCGCCACTATACCTGCCACAGCGACTGATGCTGAAAAGGAAACTTATGAAGCATGGAAGAAAGATAACACACATGCTAGGTGCTATATGATAGCCGCCACGGAGCCCGCGCTAGCGAGGAAATATGAGTCTCACATGCATGCTTTCGATATAAAGGCTCATCTAGATAGCATGTATAATGAGAATATTAGGGCATCGAGGTACGCTGCTACAAAGGAGTTGATCACGGCGAGACTGCGCGAAGGGACTTCGGTCCACGAGCACTATCTCAAAATGATCACTCTCCTTGAAAAGCTAGTGATTCTCGATGTCACCCTCCCGGCCGAGCTCTTGTTGGATTTGATCATGTTGTCTCTTCCTAGTTCGTATGAATCGTTGATAAGTGTTCGTTTTGCACAACTTTTACTTATCTAATCTTCGTGTTTTGGTCTTCATTCGTCCGAGTTTTCGGCTTTATTTGTATATATTATGTTGTTTTTGTTTTATTTATATTTTTAGGTAAAGATAAGCTATTTTTGCCGATTCGAGACGATTTTGGAAGCGAAGCCGAGAACCAAATCAAACACGTGCAAAAGTGCATTCTCGCGGATTGTGGCAGTGTTTGGTATTTAAAGCATAACTTTCTCATGCGACCTCCGATTGAGCTGATTCAAGTGGATTTAGAAAGCTAACTTCAAGGGCTACAACTTTTGTGAAATGCACAATTGTCGAATTCGGGCTGAAAAAGGGTCAAAACAGTGTTTGAAGTTGATGCAGAGGCCAGATCGCGATCCAGCATCACCGGATCGCGATCTGGTGGCAAATTCCAGCAGCAGCGAAAAGTTGGGGCAGATCGCGATCCGCACTTCCTGGATCGCGATCTGGGAAGGCGGTGGGCAGTTTTCGAGGTTGCCAGATCGCGATCCAAGAATCCCAGATCGCGATCTGGGCATATAAATCGAGACTAGATATTTTTCTTTGATATCTCACTATAAATAGAAGGTCTCCTTTTCATTTTTCAATCGCTCGACATATATCTCGACCTATTCTTCGGTTTTTCTTCGGTTCTCGCCAGTTCTTCGCGGGAAGCTTCGACGAGGGTTTCGACTCGGATTTTTCATAAGCTTTTCTTTACGTTTAGTTTATAACTTCTCGTGTTCTTCATTTTAATGCTATGTTTGTAATGAACTGAGCATTTTCTTCTAGGGAAATGAAACCTTGTATATATTGATTTTGATTTCCAGATCTGTGATCTATTTGTCGTTCTTTGATTATGTTTATGTTTTCCTGTATTAAATGCTTTCGATTGTTTGGCCAACAGTTGAATTGATTCTAAATGGGAATGAACTCGAGAGAGGATTTCTCGTTTGATTTTAGGAAAACATAGCTCGGGTTGTGGAAACGGAGACGTGATGCACCTCGGGTAGCCCTTAAGGACTTGATCTAAATGCTCTCTTAATATCAGGTTCTGAACGGAGACGTCGGACCTGTGGGTAGACTCTAACTACACTGGAGACGGGGGTTAGGGTACTTTAGTGTCTGGGTTAGCGAACATAGAATTGACAATAGATTTTGATTTGTAGATCTTTATCGATAGTACACTGGTGGATTTTTCCCTAGAAGCCATCACACGTCGGAATTCCTCGCGTATACTGGCGGACCGTTGTTTTTATTATTTTTGTTTCCTTTTGGTTTCATGTCATCTCCCATCTTTTTCTCCCGTCTAGATAAAGTTTAGGATAGTATAATTACGGTACTTGGTAGATTTAGGAACTTAATTCCCTGTGGATCGATATCTGGAATTCACTATTCTACAAAACGCGATACTGTACACTTGCGGTTTTTCATACGTAGGTTTTACGCGTATCAAGTTTTTGGCGCCGTTGCCGGGGAATTAGTTAATCTTGAATTTACTAATATCGTTACCAACTATCGTTACTTTACTTTAGACAATTTTTTTTCTTTTGATTTTTTTTTATTTTTATAGCAGATTTGTATACATCGATGGCCTCGATTTATGATCTCTCTCTTTGCAAGATTCAATCCAGAGCTGATTACATTCAACATGAGTTGGAGGATATTAAAAGACATCGAAGGTTGAACCCAGAAAATGGAATTGCACAAACAAATGAGCACTTCTGCTATCTACAAGAAGAACTCCATTTTTTGGCAAATATTTTCGAAAATTTCAGGAGATGTCACATTCACAAACCACATCCGACCATCCTTTATGAAGACAACGAGGTATTTACAGATTTTCGTATAAATGATGAGGTTGAGCACCTTGAGGGAATTATTCATCCCAGTTCTGTAGATACTTTAGCGTGTGATGAGAGTGGGATGAAGATGATGGTAGAGGAACTTGACGAACATAATCCTATCCACATTGCTACTCCGGATTTGAGTGTGAACGAGGAGACGAGTTTCAAATTTGAGGTAGAGCTTACTCCAAAGCTCGAATATCTTGTGTACGAGTTTGAGAGATCGGTAGGCAAGCAACCCATCCTAGTCTCCTACCGACTGATTTCCAAAGCAAACGAAAAGTACCATGGGTTGGGATGGTCATTAAAAGATTGCAATCTAGTCCATGATATGATTGCAAAGTATGTATCAAGATTGACGGATGGATGCGCAATCTACAAGGCTTTGGATTG